GAATCCCCTCTCCTCCTCTCACCTTGTCGATGAAGGAGGCGAATTTGTCATTGAGGGTCTTCATCTGCTCCCTCTCCTGGGACCGCACTTTCTGGATCTCCGGGTCAATCTCCAGCTTGAGCGGTATCAAGAGGTTCTGGTTGACGGTCACTTCTTGAATGCCACCAGGTGGGCAAACGGGAAAGCTGGGGCCACCCCAGCCGTTGAACATACCTCCAGACCCATCACTGAAGCCACCACCAAAACCACCCCCAGACCCGCCACCAAAGCCACCACCAAGCCCACCATAGCCGAACCCACCGCCTCCTCGGCCACCAGCCCCGAAGGCTCCACAAGCGCCACTGTTTCCACCGAATCCACCAATGGAAATCCTTTTACATCCACCCAAGTTATAGAGGCTCCTGCTGCCAAAGCCGATGGGGTTCCGGACAGACCCTCCACATCCTCCACGGGACGCGGCACTGAAGCTGACTTTGTTCCCACCCCCCAGGCAAATGGAGCTGGAGCTGAAACCTCTGCTACCACCAGCAAAGTTCAGACCGCAAGACTGGCGAGACATGATCACGGCACAGAGCAGAGAGGTGACCTCAGGGGCACTGCAACCTGAGGCAAGTCCCAAGGCAAAAGAAGTCAAGTCCTTCCAAGAACGGTGGCAAGAATCCTCCTTTTTATGTGCTCCAGGAGTGGGCTGGGTGACAGGGGAGTGGAAAAGGAGCTCATCGGTTTATTGTATTTGTGGGTTTAGGTGTACCTGGCAGCCTGCCCACCCCTCCCCCTCCCCTTGCTAAAATGACCTTCCCTTCAACACACCCCAAAAAGCTAAAAAAAAGCCCAGTTATGTTATTATAGGTGGTGAGAACTCTCCTTCACCTCCAACTGCCTGTGTTTCAGCCCTGTCAACCCAGAATAGATCTCCTTTGGTTCTTATGTTGCTGACAAATCCTTACAAGTTCCTCAACATATTTTGCCACACCATTCATTTTCTAAGCCCCTTGGCAGGCAGTTGTTTGAGCAAATTCACGTAATACCCTGACTTCTACAAACTTGCAACCACGCCCAGGGATTACCCCATAAATCAACTTTCTACTTAGAAAAACATTGACTTAACTTCCCAAATACTCATTTTGCAATTGAGGGTGCATGGCCAACCTGGGTGAATTAAGAGTCTTGGGGTATTCTTGGTCAAAAAAAGCAAAAGCAAAATATGTAACAATCAGTCACCAGAAAAGAGAATGTATAGTAGCAATGATTTTAAACTACATAGGACAAATGTGTCTAAGCAGTAGATGCTGGAGAACCATAAATAGATTTGCAAGCAGATGTGGATCTGGATTATCCCCCAGTAGTCCCTTTTCTATTAAAATATTAAGGCGCTTGTACACATGACGAAATTTGCCCTTTTTTGTGATTTAACTGCGTTACAGTTTTCATGTACGTGGGTTTTTTTCGCAATTTAAATGTCTTCTTTGCAATTCAAAGTAAAATACAGCCCAACATTTAAACATACACAATTTTAGACATGCTTGTGAATTCCTCTTCAGGCTTGTATTCAACAGCTTGTCCATCCCAACCATGCAGCTGGTCCAATAAAGAATATCACCCAGTAAAATCCTTTCACTCACATATTTCCTGGGCCATCATGGCTGCAACATCATGTCAACACTATGGAAATATTACTCATTCGAAAAGTGCAGTCCATCATCTTTAATCCCATCTCTGCCTGCAGGGCTGAGGCAATGATAGCAGCCATTTTGTTTCCTGCTAAGTGGAAGACTATGGAGAGAAAGGATTAAACAATAATTAGCAATATCATCCCCTAGAGGCAAGCTGGGAGATCTGATACATGGCAAACTAAACTAGAGATTTAAAAAAAATCAAGAATTATGGTAAGCCAAGCCAAAAATACTGACTATGGAAGGCGGATTGTTGAAGGTAATGCTCAGGACATACAGTAATAATAGCTATGTCTTATAATGGCCCCTTTTTATCAGCAGATCTCAGAGGGCTGTATAGAGGAGGCCTGTAGCCTTAGTCCATTTTACAGATAGAAAAACTGAAGCGAAAAAAAAAAAAGAGAGGGAGACTGATTCTCCAGAAGACACCCAAATGTGGTTGGAAGAAAACAAGCCATGGAGCCCATTTCCACTGTATCGTGCTACCCACTAAGCCACGGTAATCAGAATTACATAACGTATAGTGTTTCACTAAACCTTGTGAAACCTGTATACACACTGCTTTGTTACACAACCTGGCGTGTCTTAAGCAAACGTGCCCCTGAAAACATCCCATCTATGTATGGAGCGAGAACAATTCTGATGCACCTTTCTGAAGGCCAGTGAGATCCAGTGGTTAGACACAAGAGCTGGCTCCTCTTTCTCGCTCTTCTACATACCATAGTCCTTCATGGCCTTCTGTAAGGCACAGCATAATTCATAGTTGTTAGCTCTAGACAAGGGGTGGGCAATTATTTGGGGCAGAGGGCCACTTACTGAGTTTCGGAAAGCCATCAAGGGCCACGTGACAGGCAGCCCAGGGCAGATTAATATTAATTTTCTACATTTTTAGGGGTCCCGCAGGCCGGATAGAATAGCCTAGTGGGCCACATCCGGCCCCCCGGGTCGCATTTTGCCCACCCCTGCTCTAGACTATTGTCTCTATCTCTCTAGTAGAACCGCTCCAACCAAAGCAGAGCCCTAGGGAACAAGGTGTTATTGTAATAGCAATAAAAAGGAATGGAGTTGGGATCATTTCAAGCAGGAATCATCTTGCATAGATTTATACACGGTCCTTCCATATCTCCTACAAAGGATTCACTACACAAAAACGGTTAACGGTCTGCCAAAAATGGTTCAGGGGCTGGAGCGTCTGACTTACAAGGAGAGGCTAAGGGAACTGGGCTTATGTAGTTTAGAGATGAGAAGACTGAGGGGGGATTTAATAGCAGCCTTCAGCAGCTGGGAGGGGTGATCCAAAGAGGATGGAGCTAGACCAGGGGCAGGCAAAATATGACCCACGAGCTGAATTTGGCCCACTTTCATCCCACCTGCAAGTGCCTGCCAACTAACTGTACCCCACCTATCCTATGTGGGAGTAAGGCACCCACATACATACACCCCTACCAACATCCCTTATTGCACCTCACTCCCACCCTCATAGGTGGAAGGGCCCAGCCTGGCCAGCACACAGCTTCTGGGCAGGGCTGCTGCTGCCACTGCTGCAGCAACCGGGAACCTGCTCAGCTTCCCTGGTGTCTCGCTCACTCCAGGTAGCAGATCAGGAATTGGTGGGAGCAAGGACAGGGGCAGGGTGGGGGTGTAGGGGAGCTGCAGCTGGGTGGGAGCATGGGGCTGGTGCTGGTGGCAGCATAGAGTCTGCGCCCAGGGGGCAGTGGGAGCTCAGAGCTCAGGTGGGCAGTGTGTGGGTGTGAGGGATCATGGAAGGGTGTAGGGACCCTCCAGACCTTCCCTCCATTGCACACACAGCCCCCACTGGCGACAGCAGGAGCACTAACAGGTGGCAGGTGCTCATGCCCAGTGCAGGTGCTGCCGTCTGGCATTGCGGGGCTCCACCTGGTGCTGCACACGGCAGCAAGGAGTGCAGCCCAGCCAGGATGCCTCTATCGCACGTGCAGCTCTCGCACTCACGCAGCACGGGAGGGAAACACCACGCGCTGAAGCCCACTGCCTTCCCCACCGCAGGCCATGCAGGTCCCGGGACTCCGGGGAGAAGCAGAAGCTGGGGCTATTGCCCCCACACACACACCCCCCCCACACCCAACCATACACACACACACCCCCCACCATACATGCACATACACACACACCCCACCTTACACACATATGCACACAACTCACCATACGTACATACACATACACAAACACATCCCACCATACACACATACACCCTCCCCACAATACCATACACACACACCACCATACACACACACGCACACTCACACCTCACCATACAGGCTGCAACTAGATCTAGACACTGGTCAGGCCGCAGTTGGAGTACTGCATCCAGTTCTGGGCACCGCACTTCAGGAGGGTTGTGGACAGCATGGAGAGGGTCCAGAGGAGGGCCACTCACATGATCAGGGGACAGCAGGGCAGGCCCTACGAGGAGAGGCTACAAGACCTGAACCTGTTCAGCCTCCACAAGAGAAGGCTGAGAGGGGATCTGGTGGCCGTCTATAAACTGGCCAAGGGAGACCAGCAGGCTATGGGAGAGTCCCTGTTCCCCTGAGCACTACCAGGAGTAACGAGGAATAACGGCCATAAGTTGACGGAGGGTAGCTTCAGGCTAGAAATCAGGAGGCACTGCTTCACAGTCAGGGCGGCTAGGAGCTGGAACCAACTTCCAAGAGAAGTGGTGCTGGCTCCTACCCTGGGGATCTTTAAGAGGAGGCTGGATGAACACCTAGCCAGGGTCGTTTGACCCCAGTGCTCTTTCCTGCCATGGCAGGGGGTCGGATTTGATGATCTGCTCAGGTCCCTTCTGACCCTAACAACTATGAAACTATGAAAACTATGTTCTTGTAGGTGTTTGACTTTTAGTGTATGATTTGGTTTTTTTTCTGGTTCCAAGATGGCAAAACCCCCTCTTCCAAAAAGAGTATTCCTGGGGAGCAAAAGGAGAGACTTCAGGTAGCAAAGGTCAGGGGCGGTATTTCAGGTCCCAAGATGGTGACCAGAGGTGGGGCAGGTCTCAAGGGCTAACCATGTGGCCCTTGACAGCTCACCAAAAGTTGTTAAGCGGCCATCCACCCACAATAATTGCCCACCCCTGAGCTAGACTTCTCAGTGGTGGCAGATGACAGAGCAAGGAGCAATGTGCTCCATTTGCAGCAAGGGAAGTTTAGGCTGGATATTAGGAAGAGCTTTCTCTCGAGGAGGGTGGTGAAGCACTGGAACAGGCTCCCCAGAGAGAGGTGGTGGACTCTCCATCCTTGGTAGTTTTTACGACCGGACTAGACAAAGCCTTGGCTGGGATGATGTAGTTGGGGCTGGTCCTGCTTGGAGCAGGGAGTTGGACTAGATGCGACCTCCTGAGGTCCCTATCTGATTCTCCAATGCACTTGGTTGCTTGCAAACTGTAGAAATAGAGCTATAAAACAAACCAATGAAACTAGAGGCCAGAAGAGTACCTTAGGAATTGCATGGCAGAGATCACTTCTGCTGCAACATTACTGCTGCCATGCTTGGCTTCTGAAGCAAAGAACCCAAGCTGCCACTCTAAGAGAGGCTGAGAATTGCAAATTTTCATCAACTAACTAAAACTGGGGAGTCTGAGACAGAAATCTTTGGTTCTTCCACTGAAGGGATGATGGTTGTTTGCCCGAGGGAACCAAAAAAAGGCCTCTCCTTGTCATTTTGCAAATAGGACCTCTAGCAAATGCTGCATGTTGTGCACTTGTCGTCTACAAGTGCGCACACTGCAGAAAGAGGGGGGGGGGAAACATAACCAGCCCTAATTGCTTCTTTCCACTTTTAATTAAAATTTTTATTTAATTAATACCTGCAATGAGTGCCTGACTAAAGTCTCCCAAACCCTTATCCC